ATTTTGAACATCAGATTTTGGTGTTCTATGAACAAAAAAAAAATAATAATGCTGCTAGTGCATTTCGTGTGGAGATTAAAGTGTGAAATATGATGCAGCCGCTATTGCTAATCACAAGAAAAATTGTTTTATTCAGTCTAATTTAAAAGAGATTTCTTCACTATTCTGTTACTTGATGCTTCAGAAATGCAATATGGAAGTAGTTAACTAGACAGTATTGGATACAGTCTTTGATTGTATATCAACAAAGCATATCACTCTCTGATAAAACGGAGAGACGGGTAAGTTAATAGTAGCTGTATTTTTCAGTTTTCTTTGCCATAGTAATAACAAGCAAGTATCTCAAAAAAACGTTTATGCAACTAAAAGGATTCTTCATCAGGATTAGTAGTCCCGAAAACCTCAACGTAATCACTGGACTGAGGATTTGTGGAAAAATTAAAATGTCCAAAACCAGATTTCTTGTATCTATTCGAAGGTTTTGAGAAAAATTTTTATTGAATAGAACAAAATGAGATGTCTCCGAACTCTTCATGAACTTCCTTCATCGAATTGCTTTTCCAACTCTCCGTTAATCGAAAACAGGTCGATGAAGGAAGTACCTGAAGAGTTCGGTGACGCTCTATTTTGCTCTATCAAAAAAAAAATTATTTTCGAAGATCTTTATCCAAGCAACTCAGTTGAAGTCTTTGAATCTGCTATTGTTTATAGAGAATTGTTTCAGCTATACAAATGTTTTATATTTCAACAATAGATGAATCATTTCTTACATGTTTTCATTCGATTTTGATTTATTGAGGTTCTATAATGTCTTTGATCAATGATCCAAAGCTTTCTCAACTTCTTCTGACGATCCATTAAAATCAATTCCTTCTATGGGTGTCATTATCTGAAGAAAGGTTATATAGAAAATATGTTTTATTTCTATATCATTCTGTACTGTGATTTCAAAATAATATGATGCAATAGAAAAGATAAGTCATTCATTTGTCATAAAACTGCATTATTTTCTTCTTTCTATCCTCAATTCTTATTTTATATCACATCTGATCAATGCACAAAGGATAAAAAAGATAGCATACTATAAACCGAAAAAGTATTCCAGAAGATTATTCCGAAAAGTGGGTTAGTCATCGAAAGGAAACAACGAAGGATAGTAACATATCAAGGTTTCTGTTTTGAGTAATAAAAAAAAGATACTGATTTCTTTATCGGTATATACATTTATTGTGAAAGTATAGAAATCAGATGAAGAAAATTAAAGATAATATTCAATGAACTTACATTCTTGAATAAATTACAGAAATGGCGAAAAATCTAAATGATCAACAGTTTTCATGAACAAATTCTAACAAAACAAAGAGATAAATGAATTCGGAATTGAAAAATATTGCTAAATTCTGTTGAAAAAATAGGTCATATTAATCCAAATAGAGCAAACAAAAATTTAACTTTCAATAGAAACCTGTATTTTTACTGAGGTCACAGGAATAATTGATTTTCGAATTCAAATTTCGTATGATCATGAGATTAATTCTTTGAGCAAGTTGCAACTTTTCTATTTTTTTTCTATCCTAAGATATTCTAGTTCAAACTTTCTGTAATATACGCAAATGTTTGAAACAACTCCAAATTGAAATCGTTGCAAAAATTTTATTGGCTCATTTTTTTTATTCTAGTTAAAAGTTATTCAACTCAATACCTAACTTTATAGCATGATGTTAGTTCTACAGAATTCTTTATCTAATTACATATACGCATAGCAGAATAAAGACTAAAAATTTATTGTATCGTTAATTTAGACAAGTTATAAATGTCGAAAATATTGATTTTGTTCTGCACAAACATCAATTAATGCAAGTTTAAGTCAGCTATATATAAAGGAATAATTAGTGTCAAGACTTTTGTACTCTATTATCCTGATAACTTTAAAGACGATTATAGAATTCTACACAATTGTATGAATTGTTTATCTATTAAATTTCCATGTGGACTTCAATAAAGTTAGTTTTGAATTACTTTAAAAGTAATTCAGTATAAGTTACTTTTACTTTCCTCGTAGCTTCGCCCATTGAACCAAACAATAGTTCTTATTTCGTTCGTTTGTTTCATGATTTAACATATCACTACAGTTAAAACAAAGAAAAAAACCCAATCAGAATATTTAGTCATTATAGTATTTCATACTCTGAATAAAACAAATTGAAAATATTAATTATTCAAAATGTAATCAATATCAATAGATATTGAACAAGAAAGTATTAATAATATATTTGGAAGTTTTGACTTGATGATAAACATATTCGTCATTGAGTAAATGTCACTCTAGCTGAGCTGAATAATCTTTCTATTGAAGCACTCCCTTTATGAACACATACATTTCCGATTCTTTTCAGTTGTTAAATGAGTCAAAATTCTCTGAATATTTTTAGTTTAATTATGAAAAATTCTCATTTGAAATACTTGTCTTGATGATACACTCATTTGTTTACTTGAATCGAAATTATTTGAACATTCATCTTCTAATAAATGAATTGGACAATTAATTTTCTTTTTTTGTTAAATTTTTATTAGATTCTAAATTAAATAAAAAAAGTTCCACTTACTCGTTTCTTTGCTTTTATGAAGATCACTAAAATTTAAACATATAATAAGTGAAGACTAAAATAAAAATTGAATATTACAGTTTTCTTTTTAAGTTACTTTATCAACTAAATATTGATCAACCGAAAATTGTTTTAGTTAACTGATAAAATTCATTGGTTTTATTATTTTCATGATGTTGAAATCAATGATAACGATGAAGATACATGTATGACCATCAATTGAACAAAGTATTTCAAATTGTTCAGTTTCTTTAATTAGAAAAATTTCTATTTAAATAAAAAATAGAGATTGTATCAATGCAACTCATTGAAGATTATAATGTAAAACTTACCTGTATTCTTTAGTCTCATTATACTCATACAACATACTTGAAATGAAAAATTTCTACCAGACTATGAGGAATTAAGAGAAATCGAATTTTAGTCAATTTTGCTTTTAAAGTTACTATGATTTTCATATGTTTTCATTTTTGAATCTCTTAACTTCTTTTGGATGAGTTTCCTTCGCGATTCTCGAAAAGGATGTGGGTACTGGTATAGAAAAAACTATTCCAGAATTGAATCTTATCATATCTAAAAACGTCTTCAGTATTTTTTTTTATTTATACGCTTAAAGTCGTAGAATATTTAACTATAACTTTCAGTTGCAGTTGGAACCACCGGTTTTTCTCATAGTTGCTACTATTAAAGTGAAAGTCTATAATGACCACATTCATAAATGATCACCAACAAGATGCCTTGAGAAAATGTGAAATAAATTCTAATGAGAATATTATGAATACGAATCTGACAAACTACCAAATTTTCGTCTCACATTTCTTTAAAACTTACATTCACTCTATTTTTCTTCAAAAAAGATGTGAGTTCCATAAAAGAAAAACAAAAACAATCAATAATAGTATCATCAATTGTTAATGATAATGGATTAATATCAAATAAACTTTGAATATCCTTTAATTGAATAAGTATAATATGTTTTTATACCGAATGTTTTTCACATATGTTCAAGACAATCGAAGAAAAGAATAAACGAATTAAATGTGTTCGTATTATTGTTAATTTCTGTGAAAGTTCAATAAATTGAAATTTTTCTATATAATCACGATGTGCATCAAGGAATTTTGACTAAAATTTAACAACAATATACTTAATACTGTCGAAATCGTTTGCTTACTCGACAATTATCAATACGGTTAATCCACTGAATTAATTAATAATTGATAATCAATATATGCTGTTGATATAGATTTAAGTAAACGTTGAATAGTTCATATCATGATAATGCAACAAAATATTGTTTACCTAATTGAGTTTTATGTTTACGAATCTATTTGAAAATAGTTTTTATTTTGTTACATTATCTATTCAATGAAATAAAATTACCTTATGATAAGTATAACAACGAGTATTCATTTTTTTTAAAATCTAATGTATGAATCGCTTCCATTGTTTTAGCATAAAATTTTCTAAAATCTATTAAAAAAAAATAGTTCATTCGAAAATGAAGAACAGTTTCCGACAATTCTGTACGAGAAGAATTTCATTATAGTCTACGAAAACTGAAATACATCAAAAACATCAAATCTCGTTAGGCTCGATATATTTTTTTCCTAATGGTTTTATTCGACTGATAAACAACAAGTAGAAAAAAATTTATGCTTTCTTTTTCAAAACTATTGTTTGATTATTGAGTAGTGAGTTCATATTCAGACTTTGCTATCGTATCAAACTATCAAACAATGTTTGTAGAAAAAGTATACATAGTTTTTTTCTTAATATATGACCAGTAAAGCCTTAGAAAAAATATCGAACCTGTGAGATTAGATCATTTTAAAATATATATATATATTTATTTTTTTTGTAAATTTAGCTTTTCCGAGAATAACATTGTTCAAGTCTATTAACAACAGAATATTTTCACAACTCAACAGACGCTATAATTTTTTTTTAACTAGTAAAATATATTTCATTGAATAATTATCTTACTTGAATAATATTCAATAACATCGTAAAATTAATATTAATTTTCATTCGATTTCTCTTATATTCCATTCCAATTAAATACTAATTACATATGTTAATATTTTGTTCTTTATAACAATATTGTCATCTAATACATATTCATTTTTATTAATATTAAAATGTTTCCGACTTTGGTATAGTATTAATTCATATTTTCGTTTTAATAGTTGTATTGAATAATACATCAAGTAATGGACTATTAATCATATGTTGATGATGAAAATAATAATAATGAAGAAATCTGACGATGTTGTTGTTTAATTATTAGTTAAATTAATTGCACACATGGATTTATCAACATTATTCATTAAACATAAAACTCTCCAAATCACTAAAAACATTATTATATATACATTTTTTAATCTTTTTTCTTTATTGATTAATACATACTTGTACATGAATAACAAATTGTTGATCTTGATGTGTATAGAATAGATATGTCGATATAAATAAATTTTTATTCAAAAGAAGAATATATCTTGTTTCATTCTTTTCTGTTGTAATAAATTCACCTAACAAAGAAAGATTTTTTCAAACTTCTGTAATGGATTATTTTGATCTAAAATTTTGTTGATATTTAGATATGTTCATCCAAAAAGAATATTATTGTAAAAATTTAAGTGTTTAAAAACTTCCATTGTTTTGTTTTTTTTGGACAGTCTATGAAATTGAATCAACTTTTTTAATATTAAGTATGTCTACTTAAGTAATAGTTCGTGTGATGTAATATATTTTGTATTTTATCATAACAAATCAAATAATAATCATTTTTCTTTTTCTGTTTTAGATTGGCCTCGATGATACAAAATTACTCAAGTCAAGATCAAGCCATACAATAAAAAAAAAATGTAGGTATCAGTTTTAATTTTTTTTTATTATTTAACGATTATAAGGATGGTGAAGTAAGACCTCCTATGATCTTTTTAATTTATTTTTTTTTCTTTTGTCTTAGGTTCGATGAATATTTACAACTATGACAAGATAACATTGGGGTAAGTTAACTCATTCTTTTTTTTTTCATTATATACCATTAAATTAATTCTTTTTCTTTCTAGTTCTCAATATCATCGCGGCGTAATCAACATCGTTCAACGTCAAAACAGGGTGAGTAATGTTTTCATTCTTTTTTGTGAGATGAGGTTAGATAGTGTAGTATTGAGATTGAGGAGAGGGATAGAGTGACTGAGATAAGAGTGTTAGTAGGGGGAAGGGGTGAGTTATGTCCATTGAGGTTAGGTCCCCGTTAGTTACAGGCCTTCCGGATAGGCCCTAAAAACCCGGCCAGGAATCGTTTTGGTGTCTGTGGCACACGACCATGCTTATTCAGACTCATTGACATATCTCTCGCGGGGAGGGTATGAATGATATGAGTCTGTCCTGTGCGTGCATGAGCGTTACGCTCGCCACGGCTCCACCAGGATGTTTCCTGGTCGCGCGAATAGAATAAGCCATTCATTTTATCAATTCAATGCGATTTATTTGAAACGAAAGGAACGCAAAAAAAATCTATCACGACGAGTCTATTCGATTGAAAAGTGTTGAACACGATTATTCAAATAATCGACGACGTAGAGATTGCCATGTCGATCGAAGGACAAACCAAAGGGACTGTTGAACTGATTTGCTCCCTCTCCTTGACCATTTCCACCCACAATGACAGTGCCCTGTTTCGCTTCTTTAGGCCAACGCATCACTCGATCATTCTCATAGTCTGCCACATAGATGGTACCCAATGTATCGACGAGCAGTCCATTAGGATACGACAATTGTGTCAGAGCATTCCCTTGGCCTTGACCTCCAGCGACGACAATTCCTTCTTTTGCACCTTTATTCCATTTCATTACACGATGATTGTCCCTGTCTGACACGTAGACAGTCTGTTGTTGATCGACAAAGATGTAGGTCGGATAGTTGAGTTGATTGAGACCAGCACCTTTACCATTGCCACCAGCTACTAGAGTTCCATTCTTGTCTCCTATTTGATATCGTCTTACTTCATTTTTGTCTGTGTGAGATATGTAGAGATATCTCTGATCATCCATGGCCAATCCCAAACAACGGATGTTGTGGATGAGAATTTCTCCTTGTGCTGCACCACTACGACGAGACCATCGTACGACTCGTCGATTCCCCAATTCACAAATAATGAGACTATCCGTCTCTTTGTCGATCAATACATCGGTTGGCTGATTCAATTGATTCAATCGATTTCCTAGGCCATCGCCACCAGCTACAACTTGTCCATTCGTATCACCCATCTTCCATTGGATGATACGATTATTTAAGTAATCAGCGATGACCATCGTTTGATCATCATTAACGAAGAGACCATGAGGGCCGAAGAGTTGATTGGTGCCACTACCCCTTCCATGCCCTCCAGCAACAGTCACTCCATTCTGTGCCCATCGGGCATCGACTGGAATATTGGGAATTACTACAATGAACAAAAAAGAAAAGGAATCGTCGTTGTCGAATGGATCGCGTCCCTCGTGGGAGCAAGCGCTACAAAATATGACATTCATCTTTGAGAATGCTCATTCCACAGATAAAAACTCAGAAGTCTTTTCCTAGTTTCTTATGAGAAAAAAGGATTTGGTAACGATTCTTACATCTATGTTACTTCTAGTTCTTGCCAAGATCTTTTTGATGATAAAAATAACACCTGGAGATTGCTGTAAGGAAGTTCTCCAAGAAAGAGTAATACTAATTTCATGTAAGTTTTTGATAGAAAAACATAAGGATCTGAGGATTTTTTTTTTCAGAATTGAAAGAATTCAGAATCTTTTTGGCAGAATGATCATTTATATGAACATCAGAGAAGATTCTATCTGTATCTTGTGAGAGGAATATCGAATCGTTGAACAATAAGAGCTACAAATACGACATTCGTCTTCGAGAATGTTCCTTCCACACATAAAAATTTCGAAATCTTTTCCTAGTTTCCTATGAAAAAAAAGAATTTCATAACAATTCTTACATCTATGTCGCTTCTAGAGCTTGCCAACATCGTGTAGATCCTAAAATATAGAATCCTCGCGGTAGATGAAAACAGTAACGAGAGATCGGTGTAAGGAAGCTTTCCGAGAATGAGCAGTGCTTATGGGATGCAAGCTTTCGATTGGAAAAAATAGGAGTCTGAGAATTTGATTCATAATTTTCAATCCAGAATCTTTTGCAGAATAATAATTTATATGAACATCAGACAAGAATTTAAGCAATAAAATAATGAACTATGTGAAACTCCTAAACTGAAAAAATCCTTAAAAGATTCTATCAACATCTTGTTAGAAGGATGTCGAATTCTTGGACCAGAAATGTCAAACGTAATCCTTATGTTTTTGGGGAATCTTAAGTATTCAATATGTTAATAGGATCTTAGCAAAATCATAAGAAGGTATGTATGCATGCAAATCTGAGTAAATTTGACAGAACTTCACGAAGATCTTTGGAATCCGACGCCTTCTACTTTTTGAAATACTCAGAAGACTAATGTTAATCTTATCAGCGCTCTCCATAGGAAAAGATAAGAACTTAGTTAGCTTTCTACAGGCACGAGCTGAAGATATTCTTTTTGTGACTTGAAAAGCAGGGGCTCACTCAGAAAGGTCAAAAGGATAACGGTAAGATATTATCAGAGTTTCGATAAGATTTGATACAAAGCATCGTCTGGAAATGCTAGAAAGGTTTCTATGAATTCGAGACAAGAATCTTTGCTAAAAAATAAAGAATTGTGTCAGAATCCAAAGCTGGAAAAATGCTCAGGTGTTATTTGCATTTTATCAGAATGCTGATACTAAATATTTGAGCTAATATGAGTGTGGGTGGATATGAGTGTTCCTATTCTTCATTGGCAACTACGCTCACGCACACCTTAGAAGAATTCAATGTTGTTACCTTTTTGTAGCAAATGACTTATTAGTTTGATATTGATCTGTAAGAACGCGTATCAAATTTAAAAAATTCAAACGAATTTGAAATTCAACTATAATGAGTCATGTTTTACAAGGTGGTAACAAGATTGATATAACTAAAAATTCATCTAAATTATACTTCAAGTAACGCATGCAGATCTATAGAATATATTATTGTTCTCTCTACGGATGTATTCAATTAAAAAAAAATTGAACGTTTACTAACATGTAAAGATATACACTAAAAATTATTCTACATTTACGAGGTTCATTGAACTATTGCACGCTCTATATATGAAGATTGTTCCATAGATTTTTTGCTATTTTGAATATTTTTTTCTGTTGTGTCGAATACGTAAAAGTTGAACAGACATACAAAATCTATATATTTGGAACGTCTGAACTATGATCAAAAATTCCCTATACTCTCAACTGACATCATTATTAAGAAAATACATTATTAGAAAACATGCGAAAATCTTTTTATCGATTTTATTTTCTACTCAATTTTTTCTTACGATGAGAGGATCGTGTGATTCATTTTTGTCCTCTTATGTTCTTATGAAATCTAAAGCTAAAATAAGTTTAGACGTTGTTTTTGTTTTATATATTTAAGATAAAAATATAATGAAAAATAAACTGGATAAAGTTTCTGTTTAATACTTTTATTAATCATCTACCTTCTTGGTATAAATATCAGTTGAGTACAACAAATTTTGAACGATGACTTAGATATGATATTTAAACATACATTTTTGTATGTCTGTTCTACTTGAAAGAGTTGACAAATACAAAAACAAAGTCAAAATGGCTTCGAAACATATGAAATATAGCTATTCGCTTCTTTCTTCTGTGTTGATGTGAATAGACAAACGAAAAAAAAAAAAACCTATTTTGCTCTAGACAATAAATAGAAAGATGAAACATCTACCATCTTTATTAATTCTTGACGGACAATAAATTGCTCAAGAAAAAACTAGTTATCACATACTACGAATGAAAGAGAAAAAATGACATTATTCATACAAGGAATCGATGATGAAATCAACAATCCATCAAAAACGAATTAGAATATTAATAGAAATAATATGGAGATAAATAAAATAGAACTGAAGGAAAACATTCACATTTCAACATGTAAATAAATGATGCAACCGTTAAAATAAACTTT